AAAAGGATTATGGTCAATGAACTAGTTTTTTTTGAAACCAACTGCTCATTATGTATTCTTTGTAGCTACGAATCCAAAAACACCAACACAACTCGATCATACGGAGGTCACCCCTGCACATAGGAGTTCCAAAAGATTCCCTGATAGATGCCGTCTGCAGGTGTATTTTATGAAATGGTTTTGGTTTAAACTGTAGTTCCATTTTGTGAGAATCAACATAGTTTGGCCTTTTGGACTTTTGGGATCTTTTGGGTATATACGTTATTCCACAACGGTTGCAAATGATATTATTTTATATCCAAAAATGCCGTCTAAAGGCCGGTTCCCCACCATCTTGGTGTGTATCTCTGGCTGCTCGAAGTTCTTCATCAGTGGCCTAAATGCGACCCATTTCATTTGAGACTTGAATAAATATCAACAGGTACTAAAATTCAGACTATGAAGAGTGAAATATGAAAGACCAAAGGGGCGCACTGGCACCGTATCCTGCGCCTCTTCAGGTGCTTCTTCAGGTGCTTTGGCTTCAGCAGCCGGCCAGCAGAGGAGCCGAGAATGGTTGGAGTGGGCAATGCTGTAACTTACATAGCTCTGAAGCTTTAACTTTAATCTTGGTATACTCGGGCTATGACCAAGCATTCGGTCGGCTTTGTTTCCATCTTCCCTTCGATCTCCTGAAGAAATGGCGTAGCGAAACACACCAGAGACACAACATATATCGACTATAAGGCTCAGGGGGTTGGGGTGTTTCTTTGGGATTGCAGCAAGAATGATAAAAGAACATTCGAAATATCTATATGTCCCTTGGTTTCTAGATCTAACGATTTCACATTCAAAACTTGCCCAATGACCCCAATACTCCTTAAGTCGGGCAAGAAGTGCTTCTTCAGTTTCTCCATCAGACACCGTCATGATATCCGCTTCCACGTGGTGAATCCCTTCCCCTAACGTGGTGCAACTCCACCTATTGGAGACTGGACCCTGTGAGACCGGGGGGCTCGACATGCCCTTGGAAGCTTCAGCGAAGCCTCCCAAAAAGAATTGGATCTAAAATGGCAACGGTGACATAGGACATATGTTTTTTACTCTCCACTATAGATCGATCATCATTGCAATGCAGGTTGTGGCTGCTGAATGTGAACATACTTGAACATAGAACATCCACCATGTTATCTCTCAATGTTTTGAGCCTTTTCGGGCATCAATTCTAGCAGCGTTCGAGGAACACACCGCATTTTGCAAAGTTCTCGAATTTGACCTATCTTGGGCTATCCCAGACCCTCAAAAGCGGCACCGGAATCAAAAAAAAACCATTAAAATTTGGATGGTTCTGAGGCTCCAAACCCGTGATTTTTTTCACGGGTGAACACGGGTAAAACACGGGTTGAACACGGGTTGAACACGGGTTGGGAAAACCCGAGGTTTCAGCAGGAAACCTTAGGTATTCATTACATACCTAGGGTTTATAGCAAGAAACACGGGTTGGGCACGGTTAAAACACGGGTTGAACACGGGTTGCTAGAAGTTTGAAACCTTGCCCCTTGTTTTTCCTGTTTGAATCTTAAAAAAACACAAAAAAATATAACCAATATGAGTTCAGACCATCAAAATTTCCCAATTATATGATATATATTGGAAACCTTGGGGGAATTTGAAAATTGAAAATGGAAAACACCGCTTTGAAACATCTACAGGTCATGGGTCTACCCAAGATGGTTTGGAATTGTCCCGCGCCAATGCTCCGGAATTGAAAGGTTGCGGTTACCCCGCAAGTATTGAAACACATCTGACATGCCGGAAAATTGCCAATCTTCATGGCAAACATCCACCCATTGAAGGAACGTATCCTTTGCATCTGGCACCTCACTCGGAAGTACAGGAGCTCCGTGCGCAGTGGCTTTCATAGTCTCCAAGCGATCGATGAGGTGCCGTGCAAAGGGCATGGGGTAAATCCTTGGGCCCCGGTTGGCAATCAATACGGTCTGACTAGTTGACAGTCTTTATCCTACCTGGTCCCAAATACCTCAAACCGTTTCAAACAGGTATACATAAGATATAAATGATTAAAATAGTATAAAGCAAAGAGACCAAAGATCTAGAAACATCTTGGAGTTCCATTGGGCGTTATTGCATACAAGATTCTGAGTTGGACGAAGGTTTGCATTTCCTTTGTACCTCAGCTTACCTTTGCGATCCTTGTAAACATCAGCCGTTCTGATTCTTTCCTCCTTTGGTTTTCTCTGATGTTTTTTCAGTTTGCCCTTATCCAAGGATAATACGTCTCTACTATTGCTATAGGCGTAGTGACGCTTCGGTGTTGGTCCTTGGTAGTGCTGCATCCACCAGCTGACCTTCACTACCTCAGTGGTCGCCGGGATAATTTTAGTGTGATTTGTAGGGAGAAATGGATTTTGGGGAAGTCACTATTGCCCATACTATTTAAAACAATTCCCACATCATACGGTATATATGATGTATATGCATCGATACTTGTTTTGTTTGAAAACTACGCAATACCCCCACAAATCAGCACCACAAAATGATGTTAGTAACTTGCATGTAAATCGTCTTTGTTTATCCATGGGGATGTCCCCAAACCCAAAGGGATGCCATATGAAGCCAAATTCTGACATGGTACAGCACGTATGCCCCCAGAAGCAAAGATGCTTCGCAACATTGCCCGAAATGCTGGTAGGAATTCATACACAGACCCTTGTGGCTGCTCTACCGTCCACACTCCTCCAAGTGCCGTGCACAGCAGGATCAAAAGGCAAGTCCTTCGCGATTGACATGCAGCAGCATTGGGTTTGGAATGGAAAAAGGCTGGAACGGGAAGGGCCCGCTAAGGGAAGCATTTGGGTTCCCCAAACAACCTGACTAACAACCGGTGAGGACAAATTCAAATAAGATTGGAAATGATTTCATTGGTGTGCAAAAGTAGGGGAACAAACTTGTGATTTTTTCTTTCTTTCTGATACTGTTGTTTTTGAACAGATCTTAAGATTTAAAATCTTTGGGATATCTAGGAGTGGAAGGGAATGGTCCACCAACCCCTATTGGTAACCCGCTCCTTTCTCCCAACATGTTGGACTGGGAAACTGATGGGTAATCAGTGAAGCCAGTACTTGAACATGGTGACCTCTTCGATGTGCCAACATTCATCTTGCAGAACGAAGCACATTTCATGGCGAAATGTGCTGAGAAATCACCACAGCGAGCTCGAAGTAGGCATACCACTGCAAGCCTTAAATTGGTACACAGCATTGATTCAGTCAGGCGTTCTGTTTTAACAATCAAAGGGTACAGGTAATTTGGAGATATTTGGCAAAGTTGGTACCACCAACCGCTCTATAACATGTAATTGTTCCATACAAAGTAGTTCTATCGTTGAAAATCCGTATATGCCAAAATTATCAAAGATTGAATGCAAAATATCAAACAAGTTTGGTACTCCAAAAAAACAGCATCCTGATTTCTCATCAAGCAACGCGAAGCCCGAAGCTGAATTTAGATCCATGAAGTTGGACTTCCGGTCTTTGGGTTTGACATTGTCCAAAATGTCAAACCTCAAGGCCTTATACCCGCAGGCTCGTGCCTGCTTCGTGAGGTTTCCAATGCCCGCGAAGAACTCGTAGTAGTCGTACTGCTCCTTTGAGCAGATGGAAGGTTTCCAGCTATATCAAGTATTGGACAAGTAAAGGACGCTGATCCAGAAAAGGTCAGAGGGGAACCTACATATATATGCGAACAAAATGGAAATATGGGTCCCTTTCTATTGATGCCCGAATTAAGAAACAAAATTCAAAATCCTTAGTTGCCTCCCTATGAACCTATAGATCTCGAGAAGCTCGATTTCACTGCGCGGATAATGACCCAGCCATCCTGGCCTCCCAAACGGCGTAGGTCCAGTAGATCAGCAGGATGCAAAGCACAAAGTCCTGGAGCACACCAACAAAATATGTTGTCATTGGTGGGGGACATATCACGTTAATAAGGTTTCAGAAGGGCACTAAAAACAAATACATCATATACATAATATATATATATATCTCAATGTTTCATTGCCAAAAAGCATCCAACATGAAAGTCTTTCATGTTGGATGTTGGATGTTTAATGGCTGAATTGTTTGCTTGATATATATCTCAACCAATCTTGGGATGACTGTGCATATCAATGCGAATTCCTGGTAGCCCTAACGTTCCCTTTTTATCCCCCAATCCATGGTCCTGGGGACAGTTCAGCTGACGCAGTCGCCACACCAATGCGTTGATGTCCAGCATGGGTCAGGGATGAAATGGTGGGATGGCGATGATGTCTAAAGTTTCAAAGGTTTATAGTTTATTATTGTTTATTATAATTTTAAGATTTGACAAGTTGAAGTCATTCAAAGCCTGATTCCTGAAATGATTTTATAGGAATGCTAAAGTTACGCAGGTCATCCTGGCTAATGTTGCTTCAAAAACCATCCATGCCATCCCAAGTCTGATATCTTAGATATGGGCTGCGGATCTACATGTCTAACCCTCAAATGGCAGCACGACACTTCCCCCGAGAAGTGCATAGCGTATCCCTGAAGAGAATTGATACTAACGAATTCTTATTTGATATGTTTTTAGAGTTTATCAACATACTCCGGAACTCCCAGTTAAAACGTGTAAGGGGTACCTCTCCGCTTGCTGTGGCATGGCCGCACTGTCCACAGGTCGCCACCGCGGTATCGCTTTCTCATGGCCTCAGATCCGAAGGAGCCGTGGGTTTAGAGATGATCAACTTGGATTGGGATGGAAGAGAGTGGCATTTAAGTTGTTGATTTCTCTATCAATCATTGATGTTTGTCATCACATATCATTTGGTATCATTGCAGAACCCCTGAAATTGAGATACCTTTTTTTCCAGCCGTGCCCACCCGGAGTTGAGATTCACTGAAGCCTTTGCGTGAAGACGTCCAGCCGTAGCATCATCCCTTTATTGCTTCAAGTGTTCAAGTCTATGACAAGAATAACTATCAATCAAACAGTTTTTTTTTTCAAATCAGAGACTGATGCTAAGCTGGTCAAAATCCATGGAGCGCCAATGATCACCCATGGCACAGCAACCAAAAGATCTTTCCCAACAATCGGTTGGAATCAATTGCAAAATTTTCTTGGTACCAGAATTTGATCACTAGAGTTCCAGCTGTGTCCATAGGATATCCCCAAAGTGTTCAGTGTTTCCCCGCACTTCGGCAGGATAGCACCTGAAACCCCGATCCCAAGTATTTTGGTTTTTCAACTTGGGACACCCCAGAAAAGTTCAGAAACATTCACTGCCACTTGAGGCAATGTTAGAATCCCTAAATATATGATTACTTGGACGCCCGCTTCACAGCCTTTACAGCAGCAACTTTAAGGCATTCCTTCAACGTCAGGATGTCACAGTCATCACTCAAAAGGGAATCTTTCTCTCGCGGTTTCTTCGACTTGTCCTCGATGTAGTTCACCTCAGAGGTTCAGAGGGAGGATATATATATATATATGTGTGTGTGACATACATCCACTTACATCACTTACATCCACTCACGAACAATCATTATAGCACTCCTGAAGTATGCCTGTCTAGTAAGTTGAGAACACATCTTTGAATCATATCATTGAATTTTTTGTTGAGTGACCAAAATCCATCCTGCTTTCAAGCACGCATGCAGCCGCAGAAGGAATGGTCCAGCATCAGCGTGCACCGAAAAGGTCGCTAAGTCCTTCCCCTCACCCTTCAGATGAACACCCACATTTCCAAGCTTCCAGTAAACATTCAATCGGCATTCCTCCGTTGGTGAGAAGGGTTCCTTGAACTGCAGTTTTATGTTCTTTGTCAAGTCTTCATGTTTTTTGACCTTCCATCCACCCGCCACGATCTCCCTGAGATACTTTGCTATGGTATTCACATGTGTCTTTTCGTCTGTGGGCTGTACGCTGGGTTCTTTCTCCTCTAGCTTCTTCCTTTTCTTAGACGCTGCTACCTCCTCAGTGCCCTTTGACTCCTCAGTTTTCCCTGCTGCCTCAACTGTGGACTTGGTGGCCTGCTTTTTGCTCTTGCGCTGTTTGCTTTTCACCTGAGGGCTCCCTGGTTCATGCTCCATGGCTGCCTCCTCGCTTTTCAGCTGATGCATCGATGCATTGGAATTCATAATTGCATAGCGATCCCAAGCTTTCTTTGGCTCATTCAAGTCATTTGCCCAATCCTGATCATCCCAACCTTCCTCATATTCATACCCCCCATCGTTTTTCCACTTGGCCCATTCCTTTTCCATCTCCTTTGTCCAAAACGGACCGGAATCTTCATACTCCTGTCGATTCTGGGGGGTGGCAATTTTCCTTTTTTTTGTTTCATCTTCCTCCTGGCAAGGATCCTTTTTACCTCTGCCCCTGCCTTTGCCCCTACCCCTTCCCTTACAGGGACGATTGCTCAGCTGGTCTTTCCTTCTCACAAAGTCTTCTCCATCCTAGCCGCCAAAGAAAACAAAACATTGCAATATTTTCTCAGGCGATATTGGAAAATAAGAATATTATTATTTCAAACTTGCTTCAAAGGTCAACGTTCGAGGTGTACCAATGTTACCCCCGCCTCATTTTCAGACTCAGTGAATCCTCCGTTCTTTCCACTCGCCTTTTTCTTCACCTCAATCCATTTTCCTGGCGATGCTGGGCCGGTCCCAGGAAGTTCCATGGTTTCTTCACCTTTGCCATTCGTACGTTGATAGCTTGAACGTCTTTCATTTGAAGTGATTTCCGGGGAAGGAGCTGGCCCAGGTGGTGACAGTGGCACTTCTTCTGAACGAATATCAGCAAGAGGTTGCGTCTCCACATTGTCCCCACACACTCCTGGCATAACAAAAGTATAAAACAATGAAACATAATATGGACTCAGATTTTAAAAGCTTGCTCTTTCTTTTCACTCTGAATTAAAAAATGGTCCTCCAGATGGGGAAGGCAATGGAGCTGCCGATTCAGCCGCACTTTTCTTGGCCTCTCTAAGCCTTCAAACATTTTTCAAACACCGTTCAACAAATGTCTTGGAAATGTTGTGTTGCAACATATATGTTCCATATTGATATATTCAGTACAGAATCCACCCAGCAAGACCGAATAAACCAACCGAGAAACTTCTTCAACTTTTCCAAGATCTCGGCACGCTGTCTTGAAAGAGAATCATCACCAGCACCTTGGCAACGGGAAAACGATGGCTGAGGCTTTATTTAAACTTCTATCAGCAAAAATATCTAGCAGTGGTTTGGAGATTGGAGGATTGAATAACATCTCATGAACATATAGGGTTGGAACTTTTGCTAAGAACAGAACTCTCAGGTTTGGTCTCCGTAGGGGTCTCCATCACAAGGTCCGCAGGTGGATCACTGCTAGAAGGCATCACAGGGTCACCACTACCATTGCCAGAATCTACTCTGGGTTCTACAGGTGGTCTCTCTTCTGTGTCCCCTGTAGCCGGTTCAGCTGCATCCCCATTGCGCTCTTGCCCATCCGAAGATGAATCGGATGAAGAACTAGAGTCATCCCAGGCATCCTCATCGTCGGCCCTTTGGTCCTGGTTTGGCAAGCATGGTGGGTGATGATGGCTTACGCACAATTTTGGTTTGAAAAAGCAAGGATTCCACAATTTGAACCAGATTTCATATTCCAAAAAATTCTCAGCAATAGCCAACTAGAACGCATTGGCCCAAAGAGCGCAATCCCCACCCCTGAAATCCTGTCGACCTCTCTTTCTCAACCTTTCTTCAACCTTTCTGTTGACTTCGTCCACTTCGGCCTGTGAATGCTGCTAATGCGTCAGGGTGTGGGTGAGGTATGAAATAAAGGCCAAAAATCTTTGGGATACAAACATGTACAAACCATATGTAAAATAAATGCTTGCCTGGAGCATTGGGTCCAAGAGTAGGACAAGCCGCTGAAATTTTCTCACCTAATCAGCTCCAAAAAACGAATATGCAGAATGTTGTCAAACCCAAACTCAACCGTCTTGAAATCAGAAACGTACTGGTTTCCTAGAAACTCTGCACTTTGCTGTATTTTCTTCTAGTAACTTTGTGCTACCCAGTGGCAGTGGAAACCTCTCGTCGCCGAGCTTTGGTCTTGACAAACCCAAGAAGTCTCTTCAAAGCCCATGCCTTTTTTGAGATATCCAAGAAATTGCTTTCAACCCCTTGCTTGTTTTTCTTGAAGAGGTTATCAAGTTCTTCTTTCAAAGGGTCAATCGGAGGCAAAGGGCGCTTTTCGTGAACTGCCATTTTGGACAGTAAAGGGCCCAGAAGGAACTGATGTTTGATGCAAGTACTGATGTCCTGGCAAGCTGGAGGATCCAAAATGGTGCCCCCATTGTGCATAATTTCCCGTAGCTCCTCATCACGGTCCCACTCTTTCCAGATCCCCTCCACGTCCAAAGTAGTCGGCATGTTTGCCGTGAAGATTTGAGCCCAAATTTTTCTGACCCACAAACAAGAAAGTGAAGTAGCATGGGCAGCTCAAAAATCTTGAGATTGGGCATCTTCAAAAGTTTAACATGTTCAACTCTTGATGACATGTGTTGCTGATCAAACCACCATGTGTTGGTGTTTGCTCCCTCCACCGTTTCTCCAGGAGCTGGGGGCCCTGACAAATTTTGATGGCAATGTGCGGCAAAACCATTGCAGCCGCACGGGTGGCCGAACAGGTGGAACGTAGCTATATGTACTTACCTCTTGCGACTCTATAGTCACTAATCTGGATATATATTGAACGGATATTAAAAGGATTCTGTTGATATCTTAGTTGACTAATGGGGTGGAAAAAAGTATGGAATCATATTTTTGGTTGACAGATATCCAACATTTGAAAGTCCCTTCAAAGTTAGGTCAAATATCCCCAAACATTTCAAATCTTGATTTGCCTTTTTTTAAAGCTAAAACCATGCCGGTGGATCAACTATATATCTGTAGGGACAATCAGCTTATCACATAGCTGGATTGCTGTGGTTTGCTGCTTCTGTCCTTTGTTCATTGATGTTTGTATTATCTAGCCCCGCTATTGGTGATCATATGTGATAAATAAAAGCTTCGCAGCCCCACGCGAAGCTCAAAAGCCAAGATCCGGCAGGCACACTCACCTGGAGGAATGAAGGAAAAATGGAGAATCAAGGGTAATAAGGGAAAACCCAGGGTTTTCCATCCTAACCCAGGGTTTACTACCCGTACACGGGTAAACATAGGGTTTCAATCTGAACCCGTCATTTTTTAAGGGTTTGGAAGCTAAGGGTATGTATAATATAATTCCAATCAACCCATGGATTGTTGTCCCGATCAAACAGGGGTAACATTGATGGTGCCAAGCAGTAACCCGAAGGACTTGTATTCAGATCACGGTCACATTGGAGTACCTGAACTGAACAAAAAGTGCGTAGTCAATACTGTGGAAGCGAATCATCCACTGACAAATAGCTCACTGTGCAACGATCTGAACATATGATGGTTACAGTGTCACCAGTGTCCATGCTCTCAGGTGGTTACATCCTCATGTTTTTATCCCCATGAATGAGAAAAAAACAGTAATTTCCATTAATTCCCAATTAATTCCCATTAATTCCCACTAAATTCCATTAATTCCCAATTAATTCCCATTAATTCCCATTAATTCCCACTAAATTCCATTAAATCCCAATTAATTCCCATTAATTCCCACTAATTTCCATTAAATCCCAATTAATTCCCATTAATTCCCACTAATTTCCATTAAATCCCAATTAATTCCCATTAATTCCCACTAATTTCCATTAAATCCCAATTAATTCCCATTAATTCCCACTAATTTCCATTAAATCCCAATTAATTCCCATTAATTCCCACTAAATTCCATTAAATCCCAATTAATTCCCATTAATTCCCACTAATTTCCATTAAATCCCAATTAATTCCCATTAATTCCCACTAATTTCCATTAATTCCAATTAATTCCCATTAATTCCCACTAATTTCCATTAAATCCCAATTAATTCCCATTAATTCCCACTAATTTCCATTAAATCCCAATTAATTCCCATTAATTCCCCCTAATTTCCATTAAATCCCAATTAATTCCCATTAATTCCCCCTAATTTCCATTAATTCCCAATTAATTCCCATTAATTCCCACTAATTTCCATTAATTCCCAATTAATTCCCATTAATTCCCACTAAATTCCATTAAATCCCAATTAATTCCCATTAATTCCCACTAATTTCCATTAAACCCCAATTAATTCCCATTAATTCCCACTAATTTCCATTAAACCCCAATTAATTCCCATTAATTCCCACTAGTTTCCATTAAATCCCAATTAATTCCCATTAATTCCCACTAGTTTCCATTAAATCCCAATTAATTCCCATGAATTCCCACTAATTTCCATTAAATCCCAATTAATTCCCATGAATTCCCACTAATTTCCATTAAATCCCAATTAATTCCCATGAATTCCCACTAATTTCCATTAAATCCCAATTAATTCCCATTAATTCCCATTAATTTCCATTAATTCCCAATTAATTTCCATTAAATCCCAATTAATTCCCATTAATTCCCACTAATTTCCATTAAATCCCAATTAATTCCCATTAATTCCCATTAATTTCCATTAATTTTCCATTAATTTCCATTAAATCCCAATTAATTCCCATTAATTCCCACTAATTTCCATTAATTCCCAATTAATTCCCATTAATTCCCACTAATTTCCATTAAATCCCAATTAATTCCCATTAATTACCACTAATTTCCATTAAATCCCAATTAATTCCCATTAATTCCCACTAATTTCCATTAAATCCCAATTAATTCCCATTAATTCCCACTAATTTCCATTAAATCCCAATTAATTCCCATTAATTCCCACTAATTTCCATTAAATCCCAATTAATTCCCGTTAATTCCCACTAATTTCCATTAAATCCCAATTAATTCCCATTAATTCCCACTAATTTCCATTAAATCCCAATTAATTCCCGTTAATTCCCACTAATTTCCATTAAATCCCAATTAATTCCCATTAATTCCCACTAATTTCCATTAATTCCCATTAATTTCCATTAATTCCCACTAATTTCCATTAAATCCCAATTAATTCCCATTAATTCCCACTAAATTCCATTAAATCTCAATTAATTCCCATTAATTCCCACTAAATTCCATTAAATCCCAATTAATTCCTATTAATTTCCACTAATTTCCATTAAATCCCAATTAATTCCCATTAATTCCCACTAATTTCCATTAAATCCTAATTAATTCCCATTAATTCCCACTAATTTCCATTAAATCCCAATTAATTCCCATTAATTCCCACTTATTTCCATTAAACACCAATTAATTCCCATTAATTCCCACTAATTTCCATTAAATCCCAATTAAATCCCATTAATTCCCATTAATTCCCACTAATTTCCATTAAATCCCAATTAATTCCAACTAATTTCCATTAAATCCCAATTAATTCCCATTAATTCCCACTAATTTCCATTAAATCCCAATTAATTCCCATTAATTCCCACTAATTTCCATTAAATCCCAATTAATTCCCATTAATTCCCACTAATTTCCATTAAATCCCAATTAATTCCCATTAATTACCACTAATTTCCATTAAATCCCAATTAATTCCCATTAATTCCCATTAATTTCTATTAAACCCCAATGTATTCTCATTAATTCCCACTAATTTCCATTAAACCCAATTAATTCCCATTAATTCCCACTAATTTCCATTAAATCCCAATTAATTCCCATTAATTCCCACTAATTTCCATTAAATCCCAATTAATTCCCATTAATTCCCATTAATTTCCATTAAACCCCAATTAATTCCCATTAATTCCCACTAATTTCCATTAAACCCCAATTAATTCCCATTAATTCCCACTAATTTCCATTAATTCCCATTAATTTCCATTAATTCCCACTAATTTCCATTAAATCCCAATTAATTCCCATTAATTCCCACTAAATTCCATTAAATCTCAATTAATTCCCATTAATTCCCACTAAATTCCATTAATTCCCATTAATTTCCATTAATTCCCATTAATTTCCATTAAACCCCAATTAATTCCCATTAATTCCCACTAATTTCCATTAAATCCCAATTAATTCCCATTAATTCCCATTAATTTCCATTAATTCCCATTAATTTCCATTAAATCCCAATTAATTTCCATTAATTCCCACTAATTCCCATTAAATCCCACTAATTTCCATTAATTCCCAATTAATTTCCATTAATTCCCACTAATTTCCATTAAATCCCAATTAATTCCCATTAATTCCCACTAATTTCCATTAATTCCCACTAATTTCCATTAATTCCCATTAATTTCCATTAATTCCCACTAATTTCCATTAAATCCCAATTAATTCCCATTAATTCCCACTAAATTCCATTAAATCTCAATTAATTCCCATTAATTCCCGCCAAATTCCATTAAATCCCAATTAATTCCCATTAATTCCCACTAAATTCCATTAAATCCCAATTAATTCCCATTAATTCCCACTAATTTCCATTAAATCCCAATTAATTCCCATTAATTCCCATTAATTTCCATTAAACCCCAATTAATTCCCATTAATTCCCACTAATTTCCATTAAATCCCAATGAATTCCCATTAATTCCCATTAATTTCCATTAATTCCCATTAATTTCCATTAAACCCCAATTAATTCCCATTAATTCCCGCCAAATTCCATTAAATCCCAATTAATTCCCATTAATTCCCATTAATTCCCATTAATTTCCATTAAATCCCAATTAATTTCCATTAAACCCCAATTAATTCCCATTAATTCCCACTAATTTCCATTAAATCCCAATTAAATCCCATTAATTCCCATTAATTTCCATTAATTCCCATTAATTTCCATTAAACCCCAATTAATTCCCATTAATTCCCACTAATTTCCATTAAATCCCAATTAATTCCCATTAATTCCCATTAATTTCCATTAATTCCCATTAATTTCCATTAAATCCCAATTAATTCCCATTAATTCCCACTAATTTCCATTAAATCCCAATTAATTCCCATTAATTCCCATTAATTTCCATTAATTTTCCATTAATTTCCAAATTAATTCTAAATTCCCATGAAATTCCAAATTTTCGGTCTATCTTTACATATCGTCATTATCCGCCAATGAAAATGACCTCAATTCTCAAATGGTGCCTCCTCATCGCTCGTACTTGGCAGTGAATTCCCGCCATCACCGAAACACCTCGCCATCATCATCATGATCGTCATCATCATCATCCATCACCACATCATATCATCATTATATTGCCATGAGATTCCCATTACCCTCTGGTAATTTAACAGGTTGCTATTGAAGATGGCCGTTTATGGTTGATTTACCCATGAAAAAATTGTGATTTTCCATAGCTATGTTAGTTTA